AGGTAGTTTGTGAATATGATGATGTTTTTCGAATAAACTACCAGGATTAAGAAATCTTGACATCAAGTCATCAGAAATTGAGAAATTGATAACCTATGCTCCAAATATGAGAGCTCTATTTTGTGTGTGTGTGAGGACTATTAAATTTTTCTGGAATCTTAATTAGGTTTTATTTGAATAAAGGTTGGGATTTTGACATGTCTTCCCTCTCTCACGCTACCTTTTATCTGTGGAATCAACATTTTGTTAATGTTCTGCTTTTTCTTGGTCTGTCTTATCAATGTATGTGTGACGTCCCAAAAATCAGAGGTCATTTGTCAACCTATTGATCACCCATCAACCCGCGGAATACCTGTGGATACTGTATAACTCGATATCACGCCGCTATGCCCCATTTACCGGCATCCATAATTTAGTAAAATTTGGGCAAAGTCTCTTTTGTACGGGGGAGCTCTACACAAAATATAACTTGGGCAATCATATAATATTTACTACACCGGGTCCACTTATGAGTAAACATTGACCACATCGGGTCCATTGTTGAGTAAACATATAATAACATGCAATGTTACATTAAAAATAGTTCATATGAGTTCGACTACAATTCTTTTACATACACTATATACCCAAAAACTAACTTAGCGAATATTTTATAAAAACATAATTTTTTTCACAATAGTTTTACAAAACATGAATTAAAAGCCACAAGTCGGCTTTTCTTCATCCTTGAGACTCCAAATGCGAGTTGTTCACCGGTGTATAATCCGCACCTGAAATATTTTTCCATAAAGGATGAGGTACGCTCAATAGGGTAATTCCTAAAGAGACCACTCCCCAATCTAAGTGCACATGAAATATCCACATGCAACATTCAATAAGCAACAACCATTCCAATCAAGAATATGCAATTCAATGAGATGAGACTCACTCATACACTTCAACCCGAGTCATTCACCAACTCCCATAACACGTGTCATGCCAATGTGTATGAATCTGTCATTTATGTTGCATATCAAATGACCATTATAAATCTCGAGTTTTTTTTGGGGTGAGTATTCATGGACTTACACCATGGGTCACCCAACCCACACAAAATTTATGAACTTTCACCAGGGGTTCCGTGTACATCCACACACTTTATGGGTTGAATCAAGAGAGTGTGTATCCCAATCACAGGGTCTTGCACTCGAGGAATTTTCTAGCCCTTCTTGCTAACTCCGACCCTATTTTCAATACAAACCATGTGACTTAATTGAATCTCGGCCCAACTATCCCGAGCCCATGAATAATTTACCAAGAATGGTATTTAATCAAGCCATGCACCCCCACCCACACTCATGTCAACGCCCAAGAATGTAATGTCTCCGTGCATATGCAACGTAATGTACGATTGCAAATTCAATATTATGTCTAAAATGCTATGAATGTCATATGAACAATCTCAACTCCATTTCAACACATAATATGACCAATTATATCCAAATCATATAATTTTCTTAAATCCTCATCATATCAATATGTCATGAGCATGTATCAATATTTGCATTTAACAACAAAATTTTTCAAGTATGTTATCACATAATCTCATACAATTAACACACCTTATTTTACATAGGCATTTTATCAAACACCTTCAAGGCACCAAATCATGTAATCACATAAAATGTCCAAATTCATCACATAACTCAAAAAAATTAGATTAATTGATTTGCACATACACAATTATCAAAACTTTCAAAAAATCATAAACTAGCAATTTTTAATTACCAATTCATATTAGAATTGAGTTTACCCATTTCCATTAAACCAACTATAATAAACAAATGTTAAAAAACACATAATAGCCTACCCATTTCATATATTCATCCTAGGTTAGAAATAAACCTAGTTATGATGAAAACCTTACCTCTTGAAGCGTAATACAACCGTAGAAGGCTCCAAGAACACAACTCAAGCTCTAATCCAAACTTTCCCCAAAATTTCATTTTTGAAACTTTGGTGAAATCCTTCTTTTTTGGTATGTAGGCGTAGCTCTCGTTACTTAAATCTACTTTAACTCTCGGCTCAAAGGATTCCGACTGACGAAACTCTGTAAATCGTAGAGAGAAACCTTGAATCTCTCTTTTTTTCTCTTCATTTCCCCCTCTTCCTCTCTTCCAAAGTGAACCCACTGGAATCAACAGAGAATTGTGCCTTAAAATCAGATTTTTTGTTCCTATTTATACTCTTTAACGCTTGGTCCACGTCGCGTCACGCGTTCCTTATTTCTGGGTCTGTTTTTCTCCCGAAACGATTAAATTTTGTCCTGATTTAAGTTCAAGATTTTTTTATATAAATTTTTTTAAATTATAATAAAATTTCAGAAATTTTATTTTTTGGGCATTTTTTAGATCACCCGAGACCCTGTCGTCTCAAAAAATGTAAAAAATTTGACTATCTCAAAATTCGACGAAAATTGTCTGGGTAACTAGATTTTGAGAGACGAATCAAATAGTAAGATCCATTTTTTCATCCGAGCTCTAGAGAAATAAGGATTTCAACTCCTACCAAAGTAACAAATTACCATTTTACCCTTTTTTGTTATAAAAATCAATTTTTTTGGGTTTTACAGTACAGTTTCTTTTGATTCCCAGGTGGCACCAAGGGTTGCTAAGAAATTTACTATGTTGCAAACATTTGCATGAAATCTAACTCCAACATATGCCAGAATTCATCGCAATACCCCCTAGGCCTGTTGAAGGTACAAAGTGTTACAGGTGTTTATTTCATGCCATTGACAACAAATTTAAATGACTTGTACATTTATCTTCATGTATTGAGTCAATTCCATAACAACTTGATGAGGTCTTCTTTTAATTGTACACGTGATTTCTGAGTTTAATGTTTTTGGTTTGGGTATGGTTGGAGGATTTATCTTCATGTTGGAAGTAGAAAAAGACAGAGGGCAAAGTAATGAAGAAAAAAAATGAAATGTCCACGCCCATGGTTAAACACTTAATTTGTAGTTAATAATATAGTTGAAAAATGTACTCTTACCACGTTTTGAAACATAGAAATATAAGATAAACAACATCACTCCATCCTACTCGTGGAAGCTACAGGAAGGATTCCATAAGACAGAGACATAAGTGAATAACATTGAACAATTGATAAAATATGAAATTATAGATGTGATAAACTTTGTATTTTATATAGGGGATTATTTTTACATTTTTTTCTACCTGTGTACATGATCTTCCTTGTAAATCGGGAATGGACTTAGGTAAACAATATGTGATACTTGGTGAGGCTGAAAGTGACAAGTTGTCTGTATAAGTTGCACAGAGTAAAATGCTACAATGTTACTGGGTATTAGGTTTCTTTGTCTTTTCCATTTCTTTTTTAGGTCCTATGTTCACAATCAAATTACAAAAATTGGCACCGAAGAGCAATGATATTCATTGAGGCGAGAGTTATAATGACACAATAAAGTATAGGAACTCTCAGGTCGATAGTTATATCCACTACACGCAAATGAGATGCCTGCTAAACAAATAGTAGTTAAATAGTAGGGATTTTAAAATAATTTTTCATTGTTTAAATTTTATTGCAAATGGAAGGCTAATACTAATAAAGATTTCAACAAATGAGTCTTTAGTCTAATAATACTTTTATCTTAGATTTTTTGAGGTCAATGGTTCAAGTTCTCCTCCCCCCCCCCCTCCCTTAAAAAAAAATGAAGAAAAATTTCGTAGATTACTTATATTCAATGTTCTACCACTACAAACAAAGATTTTAAATGGCAAGATTCGAAAAACACATATAGTTTACAATACATAGAAATAAAATATCACTTGTATAACAAATGGAAATGATTTAGAGAAACCTGTTTCATAAGTTATATATAGATTAGTTACTACATTGATATAGGAACAAAAAGACTCATCTATGTTACAAATTGAATGGTGAAGAGTGAAATTTAGTTTGGAGAAAAAAACAATAAACATTATTTGGAAACTCATAGAGTTACAAACTTAGGAGGTAGAATATCAATGAAGTTGTATATTATTGCATCTTTTTTTTCAATTTTGGTTGATTTTTTGCCATTTAAAAACACTACATCAGCTAACATGCTAAAGGTAATAAAGTTGAAAAATTAAAAGATCAAAATCAAATAAAAACTTGAATTTATTTGAACGTGCGCATGAACTGGTCTTTATGAAAGTATCATTACAAAATAAGGTAAAAAAATTTAAAACATAGTTGAATTTATACACTAGTTAAATTATACTTTGACCTCTTAAATTATGTTTTTTACTTTATTTCCTCAATTATTATTATGTTTACATTATCTTCTCAATTATTGAATTTTTCACACTGCCCTTTAACTAATTTAATTATTTTAGATTGCCTAATCACATACGTCAATTATTTTTAGATGAAAGTTGCAGATGTAAAAAAAAATTTATATGATTTGGTGTTAAATGAAATAACTTTCTATTAAAAACCATGATAATTGCGGGGACAAAGTTAAAAAACGTCTACAACTTCGTTGATTTCCTAATCCGAGTTAGCCGTTAGCTCACACCCAAACCTGTCTTCTTCTCTCTTGGTTTCCTAATCGGTTGTTCACGAACTATAAATGTAAGCCACTGCCTCTTTTCTCCTTTAATCTCAACGGCTCTCTCTCTCTGTATCTTTAACGATTCGATAGAAACGACGATCGTCTCTTCGTAAACACTAAATTCCACCACCAGATCAATTCTTCGCCTCCGTTTGTTTGATTTCTCTCTCCTCTCTCCGAAAATATTCAGCATTGTAAAGCAATGGAGTCGTTGATCGAACTCTGCGATCTGATCGCACAAAATCCTTCGCAGTTTGCTGATAAATTGGCTTGAATTTGTGGCCAATGTCCACCAATTGACTCTGTTCGGGCTGGATCATTGAGGGTTTCGAGGTCACAACTTAATGCAGTACTCGCCACGGCTAGATTTCTTTCTAAATGCTCCAGTTTCGATGACATGAGGCCCAAACCGGCGGTCCTAGGGTTTTTTAGGTCGATTCCGTATTCTTTCGCTCAATCTTTTTGGCCGGAGTCGTTTGGAATCGCTTCGTTCTTTAAGGATTTCTTGAGTTATGTGAATAAAGCTAGTGAGTTGTCCTCAGATTTTGCCATGGACGTTGCGGAGTATATGGGAGAGATTGTGATGTCGGCGATTAACAATGTCAGTGGAGATTTGGGGCTTTCAAGGGTTTGCTTGAATGCTCTGTCGCAGAAGCTGTGCTGCTGCTGCTCATGGGGAGAAGTCTGGGGGCTCGTAAAGAACTTTCGAATGTACTCGCTAATAATAAATTGGATAGCTGTACGTTTTTTTCACATCATCAATATAATCGTCCAATTTGTAGCTGCTTTATTGTATGTGATTTTGTTTTTCTAATCGTAGTTTATCGTGTTTATGGCTTCGCAGTTGCACTGTTACCATATATCCATCTCCCAGGGTTGATGTAGACCAATGAGTTTTGGAAGTCTCTGAAGGGGTAGACAATCTTTTTCAATATTAAAGTTTTTCTTCCTGTTCTTTTGGTTGTTATTTTGATACAGGGATTCGTTTTCACTGCTTTCCTACGTCAATTACCTAAGTGGAGAGTTATCGTAAGGTTGTATTCACTATTATGCCTTCACTTTTTATCTTAATCCCTCATTCATGTATTCACTATTAGATTGTTTGCTTCCTGCTAATATTGGTAATTTTGGAAAATACATGTTGGTGTGGGATTTAAAGGTCATGCCATGAGGGATGAGGTGCATAAGCTGATTTTTTATGGACTGCAAAGTAGATTACTGTCTATATTCCAGGACCTTCTATCCTTTAGCTATCCAAACGCATGGTAAGTTCAAGGCTATGATGCAAACGCATGGTAAGTTCTAGGCTATGATGCAAAGTTCAGTGGGATCTTGTCTGCTTCATACTTTCACTCGTAGGAGCATGCAATTTGTTATGTGGATGTGGGATGTTAAGAGTGTAATTATATTTATTTATCATTAAGGGTAGTCTAGTCTTTTCGTTATTGTAGGTTCCTTTTATATTGTCCCTTGTACTCACTTTTCATTATTATGAATACTAGTGTGCTGCATTTAGTTTTTCTCTTCTTTTATCCTTTCTTTGTGTGATAGAAGAAGAAAAAAATCATATGCGGCATTGCCAATGGCAATTGGCTCTGAGAGCGCAAGCATTGTGTATTTAAAAATGCAGTATTAATTCACCTTTATATCCCAAAAGAAAAACCATCATAATCATACTTGAGTCTTTGAGAGGCCAACCCATAAATTTTGCCTTGTTGCCTAGTGCAATGTGCATTGGGGGGGGGGGGGGTATTATCATATGTACTGTAATACTGGAATTTTTAAATTCACTTTATCGTCTTATTTCTATTTGTTTTACAGAACAATATACATTTCGTTTGGTTTAGTGTTTAGATAAGGTGCAGATATAAGTTCTTGTCAAGAGATCGATTGAGCAAAACACTCTGCGTGACGACAATATTGTTCACAAACTTCTTCGTTTGGTTAGTATATTTATTCCTTTGTCCTTTTGTTATGTTTGTTTGCTGAACTCTTTTATTTTGTCCATGCCCAACTGGTGACATGAATTATTTTCAGGTATGGAGAATTATTGTCTATTCAATGTAATTTTTTCATCTATGTCATTATTTGTTACTATTATTATAATAATTTTGCTTGTTCTTGTCTGAATTATTGGCTAGGATATAGTTCTAATGTCCCAAAATGTCCATTGTCATAAATGCTCATATTTTAAGATGTACAATCAACACCTGCACACATTTTCCTTTGATGAATAGCTGTTTTGTATTAACGCTCCTTCCCATGGTTTTTGTACTGATTAATGCTGTTACTTAATCTACTTCATAGGCTATGAAGGGAAGATGTGCGAACCTTATCTAAATTGTCTTTTAATGGACACCTTGACACACCTACAAGAGCAGAGGAACCTTATCTAAATTGTTTTTCCTTCCCCTCTGTTTATTCCTCCTTTTGAAGCGTAATCACATGTATAGTGGTGCATACATACGCATGCCAAGTTAAATGGGATCACGTCAGTTGATTGTAGACCCTGAATGGAACATTACCGCAAGCCGCATTGACAATTAGTTTTGTTTTGGTGAGCTTATGGTACTTCTTTGTTGAATTCGATGATGTTGTTTAGGTTGTAATATTATTTTCAGTGCTTTATTTTTTCCCCTTTTTTTTTTAAAACTTCAGCCTACATACATACATATATTTACCACTTGTGGATTCCTATGGTTTTGTCAGTGGGATCCAATTAATTTTAAAATAGATGATCATTCTTGACCAAAATTTGAAATTAAGAGGATCTGATTCGTTTAATAATTGTGGTTTGTTATCATGTGCTTGATTTGTTTGCTGAGTGTCTTGATCATTGTATATTTGTGATCATTTGTGATGTAGTGTGGTTAGCTTAATTCTCAGTGTGCAGTCAATCCAACAGAGTTGAGGGCAGTTTGTGAAAAAGGTATTCTTTGATAATTATAATATAACCATTCCTGAAATGGGTATACTAGAATGTTGATTCTATTTTATCATATATTTTTTACTTTGCTTGGATAGTTCTTTCCGATGGGAATACCCTATCATGACCGAAATCATGTTTGTTGTATTTGCAGCTTTTTGCATGGCCATTTTTGCTAAAGATGATCATACCATGATTACAGTAGTGTGGGTGCCACGATTAGTTTGACAGTACAACTTTTGACACTTCCTTCAAACATATCTTTGGAACTTTTGTGGGCCTGCATAAATATTTTCTTCGGTTTTGCTGTGGGTTTGGAGTTTCATGAATGTTAGAATATTATTGGCATTTCTTTTTGTGGAGGTAGTCATACATTGCGACAATTTTGAAATTTGACTATGAGTTAGCTAACTTTACATGTTTACAAATGCATCTCAGAATTATACTGATGTAGAATTTTCATAGTAACACGATTCTTTCTGAATGTAAAGCTCGGACATATTCTATATCCTCTGGTAAAATTAGTGATTGGGGTGCACTTAGGTATTTACACTTATGTGAACAAGCGAATGACAACTATCTGTGTGGTACACACATATTTTGGAACTCTTATGCCCTTCTGCTCGTGCTCCAGCATAGAATAGCGACATATCCTCAAATCCAATTGTATGTGCCTTGACTCTTGCTTGTTATTCACTTCCATATTCCCTATATGCAGCTAGTCACAATTAATTTTGGTAGAATAAAATTTATTCACGGAAACAATACTACCAATGCTTCCTTCATTTATATCTAAATATATATCTATACTATTGAAAAAGTATGGATGCATGAAAAAATTTTGATCACCTAACGTGTCCCAATCAAAATACTTAATAACAAATATAGTGTCCCGTTATTATTAGTATCATTCATAACACTACGTCTTTTTTAATAGCTTATAATAATAAATCTCTCCACATATTCGTTAATTATATAACTTCCCCTACTATTTAAAAGTTAGCAACAAATTTCCTCTTTTTAACATGCACAATAATGTCTAATGATATTAGTAATAACAATTTTATAAATACCAAAAATATCATTAAAGACATTGGATAGATTAGTATAACCCTAAAATACTGACTAAATGACATAGCTCTTAAGATGAACAAAATGGTCAAATATGTAAGCCAGTGCATTTTGGGCAAATGTGGATTTCAGTTAAATTTTCATATTCATTTGTTGTTATTTGCCTAAGATACCATGTGAATATTTATTTGTGTTCGCATTTTTTTATTTCATTCAAATGAAAACCATACCCAATTCACCACAAAAGTGTGCAAATGTCTAACATTCACTTCGCTACTACTCGCACACACTCAGATGACTGTAAATCCATTTTTGTCAATGTTTTCTCTCTTCTTTTCCTCTCATTCAGGTGATATTAATATATTTATTTATCTCACTGTTTTTTTTTTTCTGTTGCAGAAGATGTCGATTACTAACTTCTGCATTTTACTTCCTCGTGTTTCACTTACCCAGAGTTCCCCAATTACTTGCTCAGTTTGGGTGTTTTCTCAGGCTAGCCAAGGCCAAGTTTATCGTGCCATTAATGAAGGGTTTATTATGGTAACATTAACATACATCTGGTCATGTAGCATATTAGGAATTCTTTGTTTCTATCTGAATCTTATTTGTGATTGTTGATTGGATCTGACCATTTCTGCTATTATATCAGGTTTTAGAAGATAAATTTTAGTAGGTTAATCTGGACCAGATTTAATCGTTATCTCTTCTCTTATTGTTTGAAATATTTTTTCGTCCTTTTCCCCCTGTTTTTGTGGCATCTTCAAGCTTAAGATGAATTTTTTTTCTTCTTTGCGTTATGTTTCTGTAGTTTATGAGTTCTACAATCTGCTCTTTTACGGTCTTTGAACAAGCTGGCTTGCCCGGATTGTCATGAGGTGATCTGTGGTGTTGCAACTGCAGAAGACAATGGATGGGCAGCAGGAGTATGCCAAGTTTGCTCATATACGGCGCAGGAGATCCACTGATTTTTGTATGTATTTCCTACTGAGAATTTCTTTAGCTAATTTATGTGCTTTGCTATTTTTGGACTAGACAGTGATTGTGTATGATTGAATTTCAGTTCACTGAATTTGCCTCAGTTGCTCAACCAAATACAACTTTGGTTCCCCTATGTCTTCTTGCAATGAGGAGAGTGCAATATCATTAGATTGAAATTGAATACTGAGACCAACTTGATTATTTTTTTCGGTAGTTGGCTACAACATCAGGGTATTGGGCAGTAATCAGTCATGGTTAGTTCTTTCTCTGAACTCATTAGTTTGATAAGATCACCAACAGGTCCGAAATGAAAGGAGAATAACGCAAACCTAGACTTGCAAGTTGCAACTCTAAATTGTTGTACTTAGAAAGAAGAAACAAAGTTCTATTGCGATATGTGTAGATGGTTGCTGCAACTTTTTTGTGCTCCACCTCCTTTGGTTTGTCCTTGTGCAAAGTATTTCCTTTAGTTTATTTGGTAGATTCTTCTAGGACTTTTTTCATGTCTCTATTTGTGTGTATGTGTTAATAATATGGACTCTCTTTGTCGGTAAGAATTCGTAATATGGACTCTCACATCGACAAAGCTGTTTGATTTTTTTGCAGTTCTTGGTTCGCCAAAGAAATTATGGATGAAACTAATAAAATAACAGGAAAGATAAAGCAGATTTGTCCCGTTCCTATACATCTCAGAAACTATTCCCCCAATAGTGTGTTATTCTTTTAATATAATTTCGGAAGAATTGTTGTGACAAATTTGATTTCAGGTTTTTCTTTGAAGTCACTGTTATTGACTTACTTTTCCATGGAATATAAATCTTGAAGTTCCTTGGTTGTTCCTCCAACTTGTCATAGTGACATGTCTTAAAGATTTTTGACATGGGCTTATTGCTTGATTTATTTGGTTTTTGTGTGGGAGAAAATTTTCTTGATTGTCTAGGCAAATGTGGCAGCTAATGAGTCATACATTGGATGTGGTGCTTCCATCCTAGTTTTTGTATATGAATATGACATGGAATGGTTGATGGTTTTTCCATTTTGGCTCTAGGCTTTGTTAAGTTGTGAGTATACTACATGTTTTACTTGATTCTCTAGGCAAATGTTGCAGCTAATGAGTCATACATTGGATGTGGTGCTTCCATCCTCGTTTTTGTATATGAATAGGACATGGAATGGTTGATGGTTTTTCCATTTTGGCTATGGGCTTTGTTAAGTTGTGAGTATACTACATGTTGTATTGTGAGGCATAATTTCAAATTTCAATTAAAAAAATTAGAAAAAAATTTGTCAAATAAGATCTATCTTGTGCATAAGGAGCAGTTATGAGAATCGAAGTCTGAAACATTGAATAATTATGGTTAGTATGTTGGTTTTTGGTTTCAATGACATAAAGTAGGCTATAATTTTGTGCTCTATATCAGTATAATGATATCATATTCCTGCTGGCCAACTTTTTATTTTCTCTCTTCCACTAACTCTATTTTACATTTTTTCTCTTGATAGATTTTCCTGATTTGACAAAAGTGACTGTTGGTATCCCCTATATTTAGTTTATTATGTTTTCGGATCTCGTAAGTGTAGCTAAACTGCATTTAATAAAAAGTGGTTTATTCTTTGCAGAGGGCAAGCTGGAAAGCATTGTTCCAGACACCGAAACCATTATTCGATCTTATGTTTGGAAGGTACTATAATTCATCTCTTGTAAATACAATACACTTATTGTTAGAGCTTATCTCACTTTGACATTATGGCATCTTTCTAACTAGTATACCCTTGTGAGCCTTTCCACCCATTGCCTACTGGTTTTGAGTGGATGCCTTTGACACGCTATCTTGGGAGAGTAAGGGAGGTTTTAGGAAAGACTCGTTTCTCAACTTCATTGATTTGGTATTTGGTTCTCCCTTTGTTCATACTGTAAGTGCACCTTCATATATCTTTGAGTGAGTTTTGTGGTTTTTATTTCTGCCTCTCCATGTGCAACAGGTGGTTGCGCCTGTGGGGATTTTATATCTTATCCCACATGCATACAATTGCACGACCCAAACTTGTATATGAGCCTTGTGGGCCTCTTCACCCATTGCTAATAAGATTTGAAATGGATGCCTATAAGACCTACATTAACTTACCCAGAAAAATACCTACATTGTAAATTGGTCACTCCAAGGGTGCTCCCTTTGGTTGAATGACTTGGTACTTCTTAAGATTTAATAAATCTCCATAACCTGACGCATTTTTCCCTTATTCCTTCTTATGCCTTTTTTGTCTTTGTGGGATTTCCAGCATTCTAATATACTATTGATCTTTAGATTTTCAGATGCTGTGGAAGTTATTGCATAATTCTGGATAACTCCCAAGTCAGTTTAAGTTGCAAATTGTTGTGTTCCAACAAAGTTGAAAACATTTCACTTCCAATTTATAAGATAAATTTTCACGTTCATTTCAAGTGGGCTCCCTTTTGTTGAATGACTTGGTACTTCTTAAGATTTGACAAATCTCCATAATCTGATGCATTTTTTCCTTATTCCTCATTATGCCTTTTTTGTCTATGGGATTTCCAGCATTCCAATATACTATTGATCTTTAGATTTTCATAATGTAGTGGAATTATTGCAGCTTATTACAACTGGTGGAGAAGTTTTGTGTTGTTCCACATATATGATACTCACCTTTGTACCATTAACTTCCTCTATTTCATTTGCTGTCTACACGTACCATCCTTGTTGATGCATTGTAATTTTCTATAGAATTTCTTCTGTTGCACAGTTTTTGGGTCGTTGAAATTGATGAAACTATGTTTGCCATAGCCTAACAGCATTACACTAACAATTTCCCCTGCCAATCAAGATATGGCACCGTCAGATGCTATCAAGCTTTCTAGGAAAGTGGATCCATTGGGTTTGTTTTGTTTGCAGTAAATTTATGAATCTCTACGTAATTTCTTTATATTATGTAGTTTTCTCATGACAAGATATGTGGCTTGCCCACTTGAAAGGACATTTGGATGCATACTTTATCCTTAATTTTCTGTTGTCTCCTTTTATGTCAACAGTTAAGTTGATACGACATTAGACAATATACTTCTTGATGAAGAGTTTCCTCTTTTTGTTTTTCTGTTTCCTTTTATTTTCGTATTTAGAAGTCTAGATGATTGACATTCTTCTTCCCCGCCGAATGTTCTTGAAGGCAGATCATATTGGTGGCAACATCCTTGGGTGGGAATTGTGAACCGTTCACAAGCTGATATAAATAAAAACACTCATATGATTGCTGCAACATGGAAAGAATGCAAATACTTCACTATAAGTCCTGAATATGGAACTAAGCGAGTGAAATGGGTTCAAAGTATCTTGAAAAACTTCTCTCGTAGGTATAATTTTGTGGGACCTTATTTGTTCAAATTATTATGTTTTTTATTGATCACAAAAAGGTAAAGCATTTATGAACTCGAAGCTGAGATGGACCACCTCGGTAGGCCTATTGCTGTTGATGTAGGGTGAGTGGCTTTCATCTCTTATTACTGTTCCTGAATTTAGACCTTATGTCTGGAACTTTTTCATGCTTTTGATTGGATATTTAAGGAGCATCTAGATGGAGGGTAAGTAACATGACAACTTAATCTCAAAGCATTTATGAACTCGAAGCTGAGATGGACCACCTCGGTAGGCCTATTGCTGTTGATGTAGGGTGAGTGGCTTTTATCTCTTATTACTGTTCCTGAATTTAGACCTTATGTGTCTTATCACTTTCTGAATTTTTGTTTTTTAGGCTCAATTGTACACCTCCGTGGAACTTTTTCATGCTTTTGATTGGATATTTAAGGATATCTAGATGGAGGGCAAGTAACATGACAACTTAATCTAGTGCTCGCTTTGATCTTCAAAAAAAATCTCCATAATCTGATGTAATTTTTATTATGATGAAGTGTGGTGATTCATTTTTGTTGGTCTTATTTTTTATGATTGATTTCTTCTCTTTTTTCTTCTGGTATGGTAGAGTCGCTAGCTCCATATTACAATCATCCACCATATTTACAGATGGGCTATGGTAATGTCAATTTTGCATAGGGTAATGTGAGTAACATGGAATTTCTTCTTAAGGATGTCAGACATGATGCCCCAGGTATCCTATAATTGGAAGAACGTTTGATGTTGGAGATGTTATTAACCAACCAATGTGGTTGCGCTTTGTAAGAGATGATGCAAGAGAAAGTATGAGCTTGTTGAGATTTGCATTCCTTGCTAATCTTGTTCATGGATAGTTAGTTTGTCCATTGTTGCTTGTCATCTAAATTTTTGGATTTGTAATTTTTTGTGAATTGTTGACAGTAAAGAGTCATGCTCATCCGGTGCAGGTTATATATCGATGGCATCGGATGATTATTCATTTTTTTTCTTTTTCAAATTTTGTAATCTTTTAACATTCTGCAGAATGTCGTCTTCTTATTAGTTCAGTGAGGGGTGAGGCAACCAAGAATCCACTAGCAAAGTTGAGAAATATATGTGGTGGGAAAGTATAAATATCAAAGAAAAACAATGCAGGAATAGGGATAGTCTCAAGCAAGGGAAGCATACAGGTGGGCCTAGGAAGTCTACAAGGTTGTCTAATCCATCAAGTTTAACACCAACATATTACTTCCCCACTACTACCCTGGACAAGTCAGGTCCAGATGACGGTTGGTTGTTTGAAGAAGGATATGCCTCTAGTGTGATGAGTTTAGGTTTCAGTACTTTCTACCAAACTTAAGGGGCTCAAAATAGTACATCTTCAAGTTATATATTTTTGACTAAAGATACTTTTGATGGATATCTGGTCCCCAAATTACTCGTTGATGCCACATGTGAGAGCTGCAAACATGATGGTCCTACCGAATTTTTACCCAACAACAGCTTTTTCCTTGAAAAGCTTGAGTTCCACCAATCTCATAAGAACACTAGTTTTCCTAAATTATCTCCAGACTTCAACGGGGAATGCATATCTCAGGATTCATTTTATGTTGGGAGGTATGGAGTTTCCAAAATAACAGTTAAAGAACATGTTTACCAAGACGGAGAGAAGATTTGTCAATAGATGATGGAAAATTTGAGCTAAAGGATGATGCTAACAATTGCTGCAACAACTTGTCCTCAGAAAATGGTAAGCCAATGGATGCCAATACAGTCCCTCCAAGGAACCGAAAGATAGAACCTCAGAAATGGAGGCCCTAAAAGCACCTTGTTCTCCTGAAAATGTAGAAGAGACATTGTCATGTGCGAAGATCCGCTATAAATATGAGGGCAGTATTGATGAAACGAAGTAAGACAATTTGAATTTATGTTGTTCACCCCCTTCTTATTACTTAGCGTGGTCTATTCAAAATCTTCATTATAAGACTTTCATCACTTTTGTGAATTTTAGATATAAGCAAGATACTCAAACTTCTATTTCATGTCAAAAAGGGTGTAAAGGTACATTTCTAACTTTTTATTTCTTGATCTTTTTTCTTGAACTGTTATTTATCTTGCCTTTGTTATTTTTCAACAAGGTTTGAATCAACATCAATCAGGGTTTTCATGTATACTATTTTTGCAGGTACAAAATAGAAGGTTCTGGACCTAAATAAGGAAGGATTGGAAGTAAAGTATAGAAGAATAGTGCCAACCCATCTTGCTAGGTGATGCTTAAAAGCTTCTGCAGCTTCTATGTGTGCAAGTACTAGAGGAATGATCTGCACAGGGCATTGTAAAAAAGGTATGATAGTTCTTGACATTTGGTTTATAAAGGGATCCTATTGAAACATTAATTGAACTGAAAAATGAAATTAATCTTTGGCTTGTTTCAATACTTTTGTGCCCTATTGCGTTGTTAGAAGTTATGGAGGCGTCTTTTACATGGCAAGGCATAGTTATTGTGTATCCTATATTCTTCTTTTATCAATGTGTGTTATGTTTGTTATTGCGTTTGATTGTGTAATAGTGTGCATATTTTTCTTTTATCACTATGTTTTGTGCATTTCTATGTTGTTTTTTTGTGTGTTTATTATGGTTTTTGTGTGTGTATGTTTATTAGGGTTTGTGAGTGTGTGTGTTTTCCTTTTATCAATTTGTTTTTGTGTATTGTGTGTGGGTGTGTGCATTTTTATTGTAATGTTTGCGCATCTTTATTTTCTCAATGTGTTTTTGATTTGTGTAATGTGTTAGCGTGCGTTTATTACCATGTGTATTTTTTATGTTGTATGCGTGTGTTCTTTGTGTTTTAGTGTGTGATTTTTATGTGTTAGTGTGTTTCTTTTTATGTTTATGTGTATTTTTTTAGTGTGTGCCTATTTTAATGTTTTTGACAATTTATTTACGGGTTTAAGGATATGACAATCCTTCTTAGTTATACTTGACCCTAAGGTAGAGCTAGAGGCAAGACCACAAGGCTACAAGTAGCCAATCTGTTTAAAAATTAGCGGGTTAGGTATCTAATTGCCGGTTGTAATCAGGTTGGGTAATACCCACTCAAATTAATAAAGTGGGTTAGATGTGGGTGTCCAATGGGTTGGAGCATAAGTAAGTACTCATCCTTAGTCCTCACTACACCAATGCAAACACCACCACCATCATCCTAATAAGATTTCTCCCACTCTCTTCAATGATCAATTGAAAATTCCATTCATATATTTCAACCAAATGAAGATTTATGCTCCAGTAGATCACTCCAAGTCAATGTCGGTTGGACATAGATAGATCACTCAAAGTCTACATTTATTAATGCGTCTATGTGTGTTTTATTGTGCATCGTGTATTTTTCTTCTATCAACGTGTGTGTTTATTCTTGCGTTTTACTATGTATCAGTGTGTGTATTTTTTTGTTATCAATAAGTTTTTGTGTGTTTTTATGTGTCTAGTTTGTGTGTGTCTGTGTGTTTTTATTAGCGTATGTCTATTTTTCATCAATTTTTTTTTATGTGTTTCTATGTGCACAATGTGTGTGCATTTTCTTTTATCAACATATTTTTGTGCATGTGCTTTTAGGTGTATTGTGTGTGGATGTGGTGTGGGTGGGGTTGTTTTTATTATAGTGTGTATTTTTTCTTTTTACAATGTGTTTTAATGTTTCTTTGTGTGTATAGTGTGTGTGTGCATATTTTTATATTATCTAAGTCTCTATGTGTGTGCCTTTTGTGTTTCAGAGTGTGCCTTTTATGACCAAATCCATTACAACTATTTGTAAATTCTGTCAAATGCAAGGAAGTCCGCTTTATCAAGCCTTTTAGTTTCAGAAGTTGATACACTAATGACTTTGTTTAAGAATTCTTGTATGCAGTTGGTTGATATTTGAGAGCAGGTATATGTTTGCATGCGGGTTCATTTAGATCATTTGTTGGGCCGTTTCGTTTAATGACTTTATTATGTTTGGTCAAAAAATTGATGGAAAGCTTACCAATCTCAAGAAAGAGGTAGCCACTGAAGACTAAGCACTGCAAGACACTACCTGTGGTTAGTAAGGAGTGCTACCTGTTGCTTCTCAATACATACATCTGTACGTATACACAATACTTATAAATGTATATATCCATACACATATGTCTTCTTCCTCTAGTCATATCGTTTCCTATATATATCAAAAATAATTTGTAGCTTGTACACAAGAGCCAATTTCTTTTAAACAGCCTGATATTTTGACAGGGTTCCACAATTTTAATAATTTAAAACTCTCTTTGAGTAGTTTCATCCCCACTGATTCTACCTTGTATTTGGTGAAGTTTTATACTTTATGCCGATAATCATGTCGGTATGTACATTTATCTGAAAATATTGTGGATCTGTCTAACGATTCTAAATTTGATACATGGTCTATGTACTATTAGCCACGATTCATGTCTGTCTCAATTTTCAGCTGGAAAATGGTGGAGATGGCTTGTTTACGAGCTTTGCAAGAATGTTGTCAAACTGCTGCCAAAATTGGAGATCATCTGTGGGTGAAGGTTTTGTAATGCTTAGCTGTGTAATTTTTTTTGGTCTCATTTTCACTTTGTTCTGTTGGATTATATATGATCTTATTGACTAATGTAACTTTGTCTTCCTAGAGTGCGGGATGCTCAGCACAAAACTGCTAGCTAAACAACCAAAATATCGGGTTTGAGTTTTAGTATATATGTCTTTTGTGTCCTGCCTTATTGCAGTTATTCTTTGTCATTGATTTATCTCACATGCTAAATTTACCTAACAAAAGACATCAATGTTTACTTGTGCTTGACCATTACTTTTTTACATTTATTTCTTTGTGTCTCAAAGGTACTTTCTTGTTGGGTTTCAGGGTCCTGCAAACAAGCCTGGTGTTTGTCAAATATGCCATGGGAGTTTGTCTGACAGAGTTATCTGCAGTCTGTGAAAGAAGAGGTCTTCTTTTGATACTATCACCATTCCTGAAATGGAGGTATAATAGAGTGTTGATCCTGTTTTCCTTAATTGTGATTTTTATCTTTTACCGAATATTTTTAGTTTGCTTGGATAGTTATTTCCATGCTTATGATGGGTATACCTTATCATGACCAAAATCTTTTTTGTGGTATTGGCAGCATATTCGCTAGCACTTTTTTTGCTGAAGATGATCACACCATGGGATTACACTGTTGCAGTTGCCTCGGTTAGACTTCTTCAACATCATTTGAATTCCCATACAAAGCGGTAGTTTATTTTGAAACTTTTGAGACTTCCTTCTAACATACTCTGGAACTTTTGCAGGCCTGCATAAATATTTTGTTCGGTTTTTATGTGATTTGGAGTTTCTTGAATGTTGGAATATTGCAGCCGTTTCATTTTAGTGGAGGTAATGAGTCATACGTTGCAACAATTTTGATATTTGACTTTGTGTTAGCCAACTTTACAGGTTTGCAAATGCATCAGAATTATACAGACGTAGATCTTCTCATAGAAACATGATACTTTATGAATGTAAAGTTTGGACTGATATTCCACATCTTCCATTAAAATTGGTGATTGGCATACACTTGGGTATTATTAATGTTCACGCCCAGACACGCTTATTTAAACAAGTAAATGACAACTATATCTATATGGTGCTCACATAGTCAGGAACATTTTGTCCGCCTGCTAATGCTTCTGGATAATCCTCTAGCTAGGGAGCTATTGGCAACTTAGATTTTGACTGGAAGGGTTTCTGATCTTTACCCTGTTCTGGAGTTTTCATAGATTACCTTGAAATGTCAAAGCAAAGGTTACAAATATTGTATCATTCTCACTATATTTATGCTTAAATTCAAGAAGGTGTAATCACAGAGACATCGCCCTTGCCAGCAGTCGACCCTCTCACCTGCCATCTCCATCCTATTTCCTCCCTCCCTTCTCTCTCTAAAGCAAACATTCCTTTTCTAATGTCCATCACCACTACCCACCACTTATCTATCACATCTACCGTCCACTACATTCATTACCATCACCGCCTAAACCACTCATCTCCACCACCCACCCGCTCATCTCTATAACCACCAAACTATCACCTCAGCCACACATTTTCTTAAATTTTTTCATCATTTTTCCACACGCGACCACCCATTGGCACTACCAAACATTACAGCCAGTAGCCACCCATCACACTTCCTGTCGCCTCCCACCCTCAATCATCACTCACCTCCCACAACTTCCCTTATTCTGTCCTTCATGCAACGCAGTCAACCAAATGTTGGAATGGGATGGTAATACCTCCAGTCCTATTCGTGCACACAATCCATATGAAAGAATGATGATGGCCATTCCCATTCAGTTCTAGTGTTATTCAATTTTAGGACTCATCCCATTCTGTCCAATTTTCAATCATCAAATCAGATGAGGAGTGCAAATTTGACAGCACAGGTGCAGCCATTTGAAGGCAAGGACACAAGAATATTTGATGTGGTAAATGAAAGTATAATAGTCACAAAAGTTATATCATTAGCATGCACTACTAGAGGTTGATATGTAATTCAAGTTTATGCTTGTGATATTTTTTTAGCTTTATCTTCCATGCTGTATTGTCATTGGCACAAAAATATGATTATCAATCAATAATATGTATTCATGTATATAATATATGTATAGAAGTGAAACTGTATATGTCCTATTAGATCAATCGATTAGGTTTTTATGCTACGTTGCAGAAATGGTGGAGTTCTAATACTAATAGAAAAGTATTGTTAAAAATTACCAAAGATTTGATAGAATTTAATAGTTGAATGATTTGTAATCTTAACCAGTCATGTTCTAGCACAGTAGATCCTACTCCAGTCTTATTTAAGAATTGACGAATGATGCTCAAATAAACAAATTTATGGCTATTCGTGATTTCATCTACTCTATCTGTAACTGAGTGACCTACAGATTGTGAAGTAAATCTGTTTCACCTGTTTTCTTTTGCACTTGCAGGTTCTGTGTTATTTGGCACTGCTTTGTACAAAGAATATCAACTTGTTTTGGCAAAGTGAGGTAATTTTGTAGCATGTTTTTTTGGGTCTTGTGAAGTGTTAGTTTTGCTAATGCTTACAAATTTATTTGGAGTTGAGTGAAAATTTTTGGGAAACTAATGGTGTAGGAGTGTGTGATGTCCCTTACAATGGAGTGACAGTGGCTGAGTTCCCAAACTATCTGGAAAAAAAAATGAACTCCATGTAATACCATGCCTTAGAACTACTGGAAGGGCATATTTGTCTCTGTTTTCTTGGGAAGTTACCATTAGATCCTACTTTTCCCTTTGAAGAACTATTAAGTCCCATCAAACTTCTATTAAGACAACTAGTCCTACTCTCTATAGTTTATTCCAAGATATTCTAGACTCCATTCACATATACTTATTACATCTTTGCCCTTTTAATGGAAACACTAATGATACTTTCACTCATGATTTCATAGTCAACTTCAATTTAATGTGAAAGTAAAGAAGCAGATAGCAGGACTACCACTAAATGGGTGTTATTTTATAGAGAGCTTGACAAATTATATAAATTACATTTTTTTTGGAAAAAGTGTGGCCTTTTATTTTGGTGACATGCATAATAGTGCAATTGGCTATAATTCAACTTGTTCTGCTTTCTAACGAACTTCTGGTGGATATCAAAACATGTCCGTGCTTTAATGTTACTAGTAATGAAAGAACCGATTTGAGTCTCAAATGTATACCGTGAAATTAAAACAAATCTGAGTATGAAGAAATTAGGACTTTAATGGTACTTATGTAATTTACATTCTCAAGGGAAAGAGTGGAATTATCATAGGATTAGAAAATTCGTGAAAGTTCATATGTAACAGAAACAAAAAAGGGGCTTAATGTATTTTCCAGGGGGGGAAGTAGGACTTTTTGATAATTTTACCTACCTCCTTTCCACCTCAATAACTGTGAATTTGTAGTACTCCTTCCCTCCTCCCTCTTCCCTTCTTCTTTCACACCCAAACACTTATACACGCATATCGACGGTGTTGAGCAATCCAGCTGCTGTTTAATTTATTTCCACTAAAATTGCGTAAATATATCAAATTAGAGTGTTATTTGCAAAGATGAGTAAGAGCTTTTTTTTTCTTTGTTTGGTTGAATTCTCGAAGTTTTTAGCAGTTTGAAAAGTGTTTAATAGTGCACTTGCTATATGTGCTGTAATTTGCAAGTCTAAACAACCCTTGTGCAGCTTTTTATCTTTTTCCTCAATAATTGTAGATATGTACGAATATAGAGGGTCATTTGTCAAGTTCAGTGAAGTTGTTTCTCTCATTGTGTCTCATGTGAACTACCAATGTGAAAATGATGTTTTATGTCGATGTTCATCATTAATTGGACTTTTTACTGTTAGAGAATTATCTTTGCTGTAGTTGCTAACTGATTTTCTTGTTTTGCAAGCTCTAGATTTTAAAAATGAAAGCCTTTGTCAGTGACACGGAAGACCTAAAGCAAGACCCTTAATAATCAAGAAACATGCAATGTAAATTTTTATTGACTTGACTGACGTGGGTTTTAATTGCATGTGCAATTTTGTCCTGGTTATTATTGTTTGAATACATTGTGCAAAATGCTTAACTTGCCCCAGACTCCATGGTTTACATAGGACAGGTGAGGTTATAAAAAACATGGAACCAAATTTTTTCATGTCTTCCCTGCATCTGAGCATGTAATCGAAATGTTCTGATTGAATCGCTGAGATTATAGACTGTGATTGACACAATTTAGTTATCATATATATCTTTTGTAAACCACATGAGTGCATAGGAATTATTACTTTACATGCTACAACAGAATAAAATAGATTCATCTTGAGTTCTATGAAATGAAAGGAAGTACTAACTCCTGGAAATACTTTCGCTGTTATGTCTCTATTTTTGGAGGACAGTTTCTGCAGAATCTTCGGATGTGAATTAAGATGCTGATTGGGTGATTTCTTTGGGGAATGCTTTTGCTAAGCAATATGAACTTTATACATCTGACGATGAGCATGCTGTGCTTCTGCACCGGTAATAGCCTGCTTTGTAGCTCTTGGATGAAACTTTGGATTAGTTAATTTTTATCGTTTCTATGTCTTCAGTACTGCTCAATATGATATATGATCTTATTGGACATGGTACTAGTAACTCTAACTGTCATCATTGTATATGGTTATAGCCAATTCCTTTTAAGTCCGTTCTTTTTCTTTGTCTTTTTTTAAGGATAGGGGAGTTGGTGTTGCTGAACTGTGAGTTGGTTCTTTTTCTCGTTCGTTTGCTGTCATTGGGTGCAGGAACTGCTGTACCTATATGGATTTGTCATGAACAACCCAGATGACTCTCTCATGATAATTTATTACTGGAAAACTTAGTATCCACTTGTAACAACCCAGGATTTGTAACATTTTCGGACTTCAACAAATTCCACAGCTTCATTACCCAATAGAGGCTATCCAGAGTATTCCTTTTTCTGACTCCAAATTTCAGATTCTTGAAGCACAGGTCAGCCATTTATGTGTTCTTATCATGCATTTTCATGTAATTTTTTTTATTTATCAAAATTAACTCTTCCAAAAGCATAGTTAATGGCTCCAGTGGAGTAATGCAAGTTTTATTGCATGCATATGACTTAATTTATACCTGTTTAGGTTCATGTCTTTTACTTAGGTATGCATGCATGGGTCTATATTTTTTCTTTAAATGTATGTGCATTTGCTTTGTTGATGTACTTGCGTGGTGGTGTTTACAGAAAGCTGAGTTGAGGTGTCTTTTACGAATAAGTTTGCTAGATCATGGTTTTTTTTCCAGCATGCAGACGCAGAACACCACAAACCAAAAGCAACAATAAGTGCGCAGACCGTCGAGTATTTCCTGAGGATTTCTTGACTGCCTTGAGGACAATTGCCATGCAGGAAGATGAGCTGTCAGGTTTCATCATTACTCAAAGAGGTGTGGTTCATTTTCTGCACTACCTTTTTTGCCCTTTCTTATTCTACGTCAGTATGGTACTTTCAGCTGGGTCATTAATGTTCAATTATGTTCCTCGGTATCTTCTTATCTTAGTTTAGATTCACGTTGAAAAAGTGAGACTGTTGATATCTCATTACGTGCATGATCTGTTTAAGTGATATGACATGTATTTCTAACCCAGGGGAAAGTGAAAAGCAAGCTGAAGTAGATGAGGAAGCTCTCTAGTAAAATATTAGCTTATATTTTAAGGGAGTTAGTCTGCCAAAAAGTGAGGGTCACATCATAGAAATTTCATAGATATAGGTATATATTACAGCCTCATATTTTTCATTGGGTTCATTTTTAGAAGTTTCGATCTTTGAATTTCATTTTTTAACCACATTGGTAAAATGGTACATTCAAGATGTTTTGATCTTTATATTTCATTTTTAACCACATTGGCCAGTTACTCTTACTAATTGTTATTCCTCTTCTTTCTAGGTAATGAAGACAACTTCTTTCTAATTCTTCTTCTTTTTTTTTTTTTTTTTTTTGTGATTGTGTGGATTAGAGAATGTGAAGATTAGAAAACTAATGTGCTCTTTGTTCAAACCTTGAAGGGGCACCAATTTAGGATAATAGAAGTGGAGTTCACCTATGATCGATTGATCATGCACATTGTGAGACCAATAAATGAAGAAGTAAAGATGAGTGATTTAATTTCTGTGAAGGGGGGCTACTAGGACCAGAGGACTTAAAATGTTGTGAAAGAATGCCGGTAGACGTGTTGAGAAAAGAAGTGATGCCAATGATCCAACAAGTGCTATGGTGATATAGATGTAGATCATTGTGGTCTAGGTTTAATGACAATTATATCCTTGGACCTCTGATAAGATTTTCCTTTAACTCTGAATTTAATAAACAAAGCTTCGTCTAAATTCAAGGGTTGGTACTCATCCAGTAGTTGATACTTTTTTCATGGTTGCTTAAGAGATTGTAACTGTCAGGCAGTGGTTTTTTTTAATCTATTTTACTAGGCTGACAGTGGGTGCTATTAAGCGGGATTTTAGCTATGTCAAGGTGATACAGCTTTGGTGTAAGATCATTGTAAGAATTTTTTTGCGAATTCCAATCAATTTGGCTTTGGTGTTGGAGGCCAGGGGCTACATTTTTTGTTTGTTGTGTGCTATATAAATTTTGAACCTGTGAGTATTTGATGCAGATGCCAAGGATATCCTGGGAATGGGCTTACAGGTTTCAAAACTTGAAAGCACAGATACGGCCAAGCAAGGTTTGTGTTATATGATTCTGAATTACAGTTACGTGTACGTCAACTGCTGTTGTATATTGGTGTATTGGTGTTTGCAACCCATTGCTAGACAAGTTCTTTCATGTTCCATAATTACAATCTAGTTGTCTTTGATAATCTCTAAAAGTCAGCACTGTGTATTGACTTTGGATTCAAGGGCACGAAAGAAACTCTTATCCATTCTTGGCTTGCCCCTGACTCAGCAAACACCAAATAACCATGTCAAATAGATAACCTTGCCAAAGAGAGTGCTAATAGAGGTATTGTGAATTTTTTTAGAGAAATTGAAGAATTTCTAATCCAATCGTGCTGGGTTGTGCTGCTCGAAATTGAATGTAGAAGTTGCAGCACTGCCACGCTAAACATTGTGCTTTTAATCTTTAAAATGCTAATTAGGGTTCATGGTAGTTGGGATGCATTCTTCTTGTCATTGTCTTTTTATTTTTTATTTGTTCTCTATTGCCTTTTGAGGAATGTAAAGGATGTATTGGTCACTTCATCACATGGAAGGTTTTTGCATGTTTTGACTGTATATATTGCTTCCCCTGCTTATTAATTAGTATACTTACTGTTCGATGCATCTTTTTTAAGTAGTACAAATGGCGCACCTGTAACATGCCTAGTTATTTAATCAACAGCATTTATAGACAGGCTTTATTTGAGATTTTACTTTGAACTTCAGTCCAAAATTTGTTTTGACTTTGAAACTTCGTTGATTTGATTTTTTTTTTTTTTTTTTTGAATTACAAGAATCCACTCAGTTTTTGAATTGATTTCTCTTGAAGAAAATTTTAAGGTTGCATTAGTTAAGTGTTCATTGTGGTTAACGAAGTTTAGAAACAAAGAAAGTAGATGGAGAACACGAAGACTACAAAGAAGAAAAATAAATAGATGACTACGAGGAAGAAGATTACAACAATGAAGACAACAAAGAAGTTTAAGAATACGAATGAGAAGACTACGAAGAAGAGGACTACAAACAAGAAAAAGAGCCATCAGCTGACTACGAAAAAGAAGACGAAGAAAGTGAACACTATGAAGAAGAAGAAAGTGAACACTTTGAAGAAGAAGAAAAAGAGTAAGAAGACTACTAATAAGAAGAACACTGCTAAACAACCACACTACGAAGAAGAAGAGAAGATGACCGCGAAGAAGACTATGAAGATGAAGATGACTACAAAAAAAATACTACGAAGAAGAAAATAAGAAGACAATGAGTACGAAGAAGACGATTATGATAACAAATGATAGAGAAGAAGACTTCGATGACGAAGACTATGGAGACAAAGACTACGAAGAGGAAGACTGTGAAGAAGAAAGAGAACAAGAAGACGACTATGAAAAAGAAGAACAATACCATGAAGAAGGAAGAATACTACTACTATGAAGAAGAAAATTACAAAGAAGAATATGAAGACTACAAATAAGGACATGAAGACTACGAGTAAGAAGTAGACTATGAAAACAACGATGATAGAGAAGAAGATGATTACGAACAAGAAAAATAAGAAGACGACGGCTATGAAGAAGATGGAGAAGAAAAAGACTACAAAAAAGGTTGAAGAAAAAGAAGACGACTACGAAGAATAAGAACTCTATGAAGAATAAAAAAATGACTACAAAGAAGAAAAAAAAAACAGCAGCAACAACACTATGAAGAAGAATAAGAAGACTACGAATAAGACGACGACAAAGAAGAAGACTACGAAGAAGTAGAAGCATACAAAGAGAAAAAAAATGGAGTAGGGAAGAAGATGATTACGAACAAGAAAAATAAGACGATTATGAGAAGACAATGAGTACGAAGAAGACGATTATGATAACAAATGATAGAGAAGAAGACTTCGATGACGAAGACTATGGAGACAAAGACTACGAAGAGGAAGACTGTGAAGAAGAAAGAGAACAAGAAGACGACTATGAAAAAGAAGAACAATACCATGAAGAAGGAAGAATACTACTACTATGAAGAAGAAAATTACAAAGAAGAATATGAAGACTACAAATAAGGACATGAAGACTACGAGTAAGAAGTAGACTATGAAAACAACGATGATAGAGAAGAAGATGATTACGAACAAGAAAAATAAGAAGACGACGGCTATGAAGAAGATGGAGAAGAAAAAGACTACAAAAAAGGTTGAAGAAAAAGAAGACGACTACGAAGAATAAGAACTCTATGAAGAATAAAAAAATGACTACAAAGAAGAAAAAAAAACAGCAGCAACAACACTATGAAGAAGAATAAGAAGACTACGAATAAGACGACGACAAAGAAGAAGACTACGAAGAAGTAGAAGCATACAAAGAGAAAAAAAAATGGAGTAGGGAAGAAGATGATTACGAACAAGAAAAATAAGACGATTATGAGAAGACAATGAGTACGAAGAAGACGATTATGATAACAAATGATAGAGAAGAAGACTTCGATGACGAAGACTATGGAGACAAAGACTACGAAGAGGAAGACTGTGAAGAAGAAAGAGAACAAGAAGACGACTATGAAAAAGAAGAACAATACCATGAAGAAGGAAGAATACTACTACTATGAAGAAGAAAATTACAAAGAAGAATATGAAGACTACAAATAAGGACATGAAGACTACGAGTAAGAAGTAGACTATGAAAACAACGATGATAGAGAAGAAGATGATTACGAACAAGAAAAATAAGAAGACGACGGCTATGAAGAAGATGGAGAAGAAAAAGACTACAAAAAAGGTTGAAGAAAAAGAAGACGACTACGAAGAATAAGAACTCTATGAAGAATAAAAAAATGACTACAAAGAAGAAAAAAAAACAGCAGCAACAACACTATGAAGAAGAATAAGAAGACTACGAATAAGACGACGACAAAGAAGAAGACTACGAAGAAGTAGAAGCATACAAAGAGAAAAAAAATGGAGTAGGGAAGAAGATGATTACGAACAAGAAAAATAAGACGATTATGAGAAGACAATGAGTACGAAGAAGACGATTATGATAACAAATGATAGAGAGGAAGACTTCGATGACGAAGACTATGGAGACAAAGACTACGAAGAGGAAGACTGTGAAGAAGAAAGAGAACAAGAAGACGACTATGAAAAAGAAGAACAATACCATGAAGAAGGAAGAATACTACTACTATGAAGAAGAAAATTACAAAGAAGAATATGAAGACTACAAATAAGGACATGAAGACTACGAGTAAGAAGTAGACTATGAAAACAACGATGATAGAGAAGAAGATGATTACGAACAAGAAAAATAAGAAGACGACGGCTATGAAGAAGATGGAGAAGAAAAAGACTACAAAAAAGGTTGAAGAAAAAGAAGACGACTACGAAGAATAAGAACTCTATGAAGAATAAAAAAATGACTACAAAGAAGAAAAAAAAACAGCAGCAACAACACTATGAAGAAGAATAAGAAGACTACGAATAAGACGACGACAAAGAAGAAGACTACGAAGAAGTAGAAGCATACAAAGAGAAAAAAAATGGAGTAGGGAAGAAGATGATTACGAACAAGAAAAATAAGACGATTATGAGAAGACAATGAGTACGAAGAAGACGATTATGATAACAAATGATAGAGAGGAAGACTTCGATGACGAAGACTATGGAGACAAAGACTACGAAGAGGAAGACTGTGAAGAAGAAAGAGAACAAGAAGACGACTATGAAAAAGAAGAACAATACCATGAAGAAGGAAGAATACTACTACTATGAAGAAGAAAATTACAAAGAAGAATATGAAGACTACAAATAAGGACATGAAGACTACGAGTAAGAAGTAGACTATGAAAACAACGATGATAGAGAAGAAGATGATTACGAACAAGAAAAATAAGAAGACGACGGCTATGAAGAAGATGGAGAAGAAAAAGACTACAAAAAAGGTTGAAGAAAAAGAAGACGACTACGAAGAATAAGAACTCTATGAAGAATAAAAAAATGACTACAAAGAAGAAAAAAAAACAGCAGCAACAACACTATGAAGAAGAATAAGAAGACTACGAATAAGACGACGACAAAGAAGAAGACTACGAAGAAGTAGAAGCATACAAAGAGAAAAAAAATGGAGTAGGGAAGAAGATGATTACGAACAAGAAAAGTAAGACGATTATGAGAAGACAATGAGTACGAAGAAGACGATTATGATAACAAATGATAGAGAGGAAGACTTCGATGACGAAGACTATGGAGACAAAGACTACGAAGAGGAAGACTGTGAAGAAGAAAGAGAACAAGAAGACGACTATGAAAAAGAAGAACAATACCATGAAGAAGGAAGAATACTACTACTATGAAGAAGAAAATTACAAAGAAGAATATGAAGACTACAAATAAGGACATGAAGACTACGAGTAAGAAGTAGACTATGAAAACAACGATGATAGAGAAGAAGATGATTACGAACAAGAAAAATAAGAAGACGACGGCTATGAAGAAGATGGAGAAGAAAAAGACTACAAAAAAGGTTGAAGAAAAAGAAGACGACTACGAAGAATAAGAACTCTATGAAGAATAAAAAAATGACTACAAAGAAGAAAAAAAAACAGCAGCAACAACACTATGAAGAAGAATAAGAAGACTACGAATAAGACGACGACAAAGAAGAAGACTACGAAGAAGTAGAAGCATACAAAGAGAAAAAAAATGGAGTAGGGAAGAAGATGATTACGAACAAGAAAAATAAGACGATTATGAGAAGACAATGAGTACGAAGAAGACGATTATGATAACAAATGATAGAGAAGAAGACTTCGATGACGAAGACTATGGAGACAAAGACTACGAAGAGGAAGACTGTGAAGAAGAAAGAGAACAAGAAGACGACTATGAAAAAGAAGAACAATACCATGAAGAAGGAAGAATACTACTACTATGAAGAAGAAAATTACAAAGAAGAATATGAAGACTACAAATAAGGACATGAAGACTACGAGTAAGAAGTAGACTATGAAAACAACGATGATAGAGAAGAAGATGATTACGAACAAGAAAAATAAGAAGACGACGGCTATGAAGAAGATGGAGAAGAAAAAGACTACAAAAAAGGTTGAAGAAAAAGAAGACGACTACGAAGAATAAGAACTCTATGAAGAATAAAAAAATGACTACAAAGAAGAAAAAAAAACAGCAGCAACAACACTATGAAGAAGAATAAGAAGACTACGAATAAGACGACGACAAAGAAGAAGACTACGAAGA